CTGTTTCGCCCGGCTTGAATCCTGGAATTTGAGACCCCAGGGAAGATGGCTGAGGCTGCCAGTGTTGCTCACTCCAACATCTTTAGGCGGCATCGAATCACCTTCCTGGAACCCTCACAGCTTCCGAGATCGACCAGCGTCCTCACCTATCGGTCTCGGCCGTGATGGGCTCCGCTACCAATGTGTATTACACACACTGGCGCGGGCCCCGGCCACTTCCCACCACCTCGCGCTCCCAAGCGCGGCAGCTTCCTTTTCCAAAGACAACAGGCGTCCTCGCCTTCGAAGAACAACAGGCGTCCTCGCCTCCACGACCAACAGGCGTCCTCGCCTCCAAGAACAACAGGCGTCCTCGCCCGAGCCAACCAAGCCCCCTGACTTTCGAGCCTGATTGCATCGGATCAAATGCATCCCCTTCCACTCAACGAGTGACCCTTCGGCATCTGACGAGATCGAGCGACCGATGGTTTTGTGGAGGCACAAATCAACAATATATATATATATCTGTGTGTGTGTGGCTCCGAACTGTGTTTGCATCATCATCTATTGTGATTGCAAGAGTATAGTCGAGCATGCACAACATGGTTTTGGGAATGGGACCTGGCTTTGTCAAGAGGAGATGCTTGGCTGCTCTTGTTCGGGAAAGAAAACGGCTACTCGGCTACACCCCAAACCCTTCCAGGTAGTGTGGATCCCGGCATATTGTTTCGAGAATATACCAGTTGATGGCATTACCGATGACATGGCTGCGAGCCGTCATACAACAGTCCGTCACATTGCTCGAAATAGGTTGGCAGACTTAACAGCGAAGGAATTTGCTGCAGCTGTTTCCCCTGTCCGACCACAGGTGCTACGGGAGGCTGACCAACGAAGCCTTCACCATCAGCGGTGGCTCTCTCAGCTACATGAGTTGCTTCCCACGTCAGGCCCACAGCACTTGGTTCAGGTCGATGACATTGGTAATGACATTGACATTGAAACTTGCCAAACAAAGTTTCCGCAGTGGCCATGGAACTGGCACGCAGCGCTCTACAGTTGGAAGCCGAAAATTCCTTGACTGTGCCTAAACCGGTTAAGTGGGATGGAACTTCACAGGAGTGGCAGGAGGTACGTTGCTTCTTCCGTGGACTGCGATGGGTCGAAGACCCAGACTGTGTAACATCCGTTTGTGAGCTTGTTGTTCTTTTCCATCATCAAGGGCGATCCTTTGGTGATGACCCACAGCTGGATACTTCTTTCCCTCAGCAACATTCCTCGCTTGGTACGCTAGACGTCCTAAAGACGTCCTAGAATCCAAACGGCACAGAGCAGTTGGAAACACTGAACAACAATGGGCCCTTGCTTAACAAGCGAAGGTATATACAATTGCAGCTGAGGTGTGGATACTCAAAGAACTCTGCAAGACTGGCCAGCTCTTGTCAAATGCCCTTCGAATTCGACCCCCCTCTCCCAAAAGAGGAGTAAACAGCAAGAGTCAACCAGTTGTGTGACCTTTCCACGAGTCACTCTTTGATCAAAACCCTTCATGGACACACATTGCCAATTCGTTGTACCATTGTGGCCTCCTGCTCAATCTCGACCTTGGCAGAGTCTTCCCCAACTAGTCGGAGATCATCTTTCCTTCCAGCTTAAAAACTGCGCACTAACTTCTAAATCAGCAATCTTTCACAGTGCCACTTTGCCCGATACTCGGCAGAACAGTTTGTCCACACTAGTCGCACAATCTCGCTGCACCACAAAAAGCTGCCTCTTCCCATTCTCACTGGTCTGGCCACCTGAAGCGACTTGTGACAGACTGGGCAAGTGAAAGGACGTCTTTGTTATCCAAGGACCTTTTGAGATCTTTAAGCACCGAGCTGGACCACCAGCCATGGCTTGAGCCCTTGTCTTCGGACCACCAAGCGTTGTCTTTGGACCACCAGCCCGTCTCATCTGCGGAGGCATCTTTCTTCTGCTGGTATCCATTGGAGCCGTTGGAGTTTCCATTCCCTTTGCAGCTGGACCAAGGGTCATGACCTGCGAGTTCAATCTCAGTGCAAGTTACCTTCCCATGGCAAGTCATTCAAACTAGTGAACCCCCTGATATTCTGTGAGATTACGTGCCTTTGCTCCAAGGATCTGCAGCCGTCCTAATGATTTAACAGCAGCCATGAGACTCCGCTGTCAGTATAGGTCAGCAAGCGACAGCAAAGGCGAACCTTTCATCTGCTGTCTTCGAGGAATAGACACCAGTGTTGGGTCCCTGGTCGCAGGATGTTGTTACTAATAGCTTCTTGTTACTACTAGTAAGGCACTTGTTACTAGAAGCGATGCACTTGTTCCTAGTAGCGTCCTTGTTCCTAGTATGCTTTGTTACATCATTTGATGCTGAAGCCTCCTCGAATCCGGGTGGAAGTCCCAGCGCCTCTCATGATGTTCAGAGAAACGTGGCCAAAAAGCCTGTACAGGATAAGGCGGCGGCACTCGAACCAGCTGAACCTGCGCAAAGGCATTCAAATGACAAGCCACTTGAAGTGCCTTCTCAGTTCCATGCTGTGGCAAGAGTAAGGTGCCCACCCCCTGCGAGGAAGGCCTGTCACAGGCTTCAAGCAAGGTCTGTTCTTGCACATAAAGCGGACACAACAGGAAAGCAATGGAGTATTTTGATGGATGTTGTAGTTCCTGCATTTTGTGTATTTACCAGCTTTGGTTTTTCAGAACATATGTTTTGTGAGCAAGAAACTTGTCCCTGTATGTATAAGTGTGAAGACCTGCTGAAGTGATTAGGTTTGCAGCGATCTAAATTTGAATATGTGGGATGCGGATGCGGAATGCCTTGTCTTTTGACAAACACCGCTGCAACCAGACTTGAACACATCATGCCAAACAGGACTTCGAATGCACCCAACAGGGCATTCTAAGAAGTTTGTTAAGTCAAAACACAAAACCAGTGTTAGATCTCAATCAAGAGGAGTGGTGGAGGACATGTTCATTTACAGCAAAGCATTCCACTGTGCTTGTCTCACCATTCAGACTTACAATCAGTGCCCACATGTCTGTCCTCCAGTTCTTTGAGGTCCACGTGGTCTGATTCCTGCACATTGGCAAACTCGCTCGAGCTGGCAAAACAATGCAAAGCAGCGCACATGCAAGTGCTGGACATGTTGCTACAAACCCAAGATCAAACTATATAGTGAGAAATGGCGCCCCTGTAAATCTATTTCGCGGCTCCTGCTCAGGCATGTTCCAACAGCAAAGCTAAACTAAACTATGCAAACTTGCATGTCTGGCAGTTCCATTCCAGGTTTGCTGAGCCTGCTGCTAAGCTTTTGTAATGTGGTCGGGGTTCGGGTAACTCAATCTGTTCATGCTTGAAGCCCGATCTGAAAGGGGGTTGTAGGTGTTTGCGTGGCACAAAGGCTGACAGGAACGAAGCTCTAAAGACATGTGTTGTCAAGAAGTCCGCCTAGAGTTGTTGACAATTGATCCATCCTTTCATCTTCTTCTGAAGCTCGAATTCGCAGCGGAGAGGCGGAGAGATGGTGTGCAAAGATATTTCGAGGACCTAAACTGTGTACACACCGGCCAGCTTGAGACACTCTTGGTTCTTTTTGCACCAGAGTTTTGCATTGGCACGGCCAGAATGGCCCCCGAGAAGTGCATTCAGGCAGTGGTTCCTGCCACCAGCGCCTGTTAACATTTGTTTGATGGCTCAAGCAGCAAAGAGCAAAAGTGCCTGGCCTCCAGCACATCCACAGATGTCATAAGCATCTGCTCGGGAACTTGCTCCTAGACTCTGAACAAGAAATTCTGCCTTTTCGATCAAGCTGGAAAGGCTCTGAGTTCTGGCCAATGCAGGTCCTTATATCTTTCTAAGATTCTAGTCCCCGCAATATACAGAAGGCGAAAGAATGCAAACGTGTCTCGTGCCTTCTCCCCGAGCAGCGTGGTCTCGCGGACCTGCAAACAATCAGTGTGATATCCCAAATTGAAGGGTTGGTTAAGTTTCCAACAGTCCAGCATGTCAGCATGCTATTCAAAAAGTCCACCGTCACTCCATACAATTGAAGCTTCTCTGCAGATGGGCTGCTCGAAGCAGCTTCGCGCACCAAGCAATCCAATTTCTTCGAACGCTATCCTGGAGTAGAGCCAAAAGCTTGTAACGGCATCGATGGCGTCTTATGACACCTCTTGACCTCTCTTTTCAAGCAGACACCTGCGTCCAAACCATGAAGCTCGAGCAGCTCAAAGCCATGAAATATCAAATATGCAAAGCGTAACTTTTCCTGTAGACTTTTCTGCCGAAAAGTCTAGGAACCAAATGATTAGCGCGAGCACTTTAGGGCGGCGGGGGGAGCTTCTTGACGAAGCGTGAGCTATCCTGCATCCATATGTAGTAGCGTCTAGTAGCTAGGAGCGAACAAGTTTCTCCCTTACTTCATAAATTAAGTAGGCGGATACTTAATCAAGTAAGGAGGCAGGGCCACGGGCTTCAAAAAACAGGATTCTTCTTGAGGTTCTTTGTTTCAATCCTTGGCCCATGCTTTTCGCTCTTTCAGCAGCTCTTCCAGCTTTTGCCCGTCCTGTCGGAAACGACGTCGCATTGCTGACATCAACGGCGCTTTTCTTCGCTTCCGGTCCTCCAACTGAGCTTGAAGTTCCTGACTCTCCTCTACGGCCACGAGGGAAGATTTCGTCAATCAAACAGGATGTTCAGGTTGCATGCCTTCTGCAGCACCTTTTCCAACGCAGCAAGAGCGGCCTGTGACAATGTAGGTACCACCACAGAGGCAATGGCGGCAATGTCACACGCGGCTCAGGTCGTGATGGGCACGAAGGTGGTGTCATGATCGATAAATGCCATTTGCTCTCAGTCAGTTGTGATACTTTTTGATGTATTGCCTACTGTATAAGTTCGGCATACAATGCCAATGTCATGCACCTCCCCTGGTGGCGAGGCAGCAGCGGCATTGATATCCAGTACCTGGCTTGGAATGGCAATGACAAACTCACAAGATTCTCCAGAATTTCGACAAAGCTTGGAATGGCAAGCTTAGCTGAATGGCGTGTAAAAGAGCTCTTTGATTTGCAACGCACTCCTGTATCCTGTCGGACAAAGGCCTTCCAAGCATCCTGTCGCTGGGGTCATGCCTTCAAATTCCTGAAAAATATATACCGAGATCTCTCTGCACCGCTGCAATGAAATCTGCAGACAACTTTGGGTGCAGAAGCGCCTGTGCAGTACATTAGTACCTATTGAAACCTAAATTATCTTCATCATGGCTTTGCTAAAGAGATTCCAAGCCTTCTATCGGGCGGGTCCTCTGGAAGAGGACTGCAGAACGGAGCGAACTCCCAGTCACAAAGCCTGCAAAACAGGCCAAGTGACCACAATGCCACAAAGTCCAACCCAATTCGAGTAAATCTCTTGTCCATCTTTCAATTGAATCTGCTTTAGCCTTAAACTACTCCCAGTGAGTCTTCCAAAGTGGGCAAATGGGAAAACTCAAAGGTCCTCAAAACCTGCTGACGTGACACGTTCCAAGGCACCGTCCGTGTTCGCGGACTTTGAGACAAGCTTCCGTGCAAACCTCAGCCCACAGACAAGATAGTGCTGATGAGTTGAACATGTTGGCTACTCGACTTTCTGCGTGGAGCTAGGACTCTTACCAGTGCAGTTGGTCGAACCGACCTGGCTTGGGCTCGCTGCCCTCTACGTTGCCAAATACGAATCATGTTACATAATCACGAAATGAACTTGCTCTCTCGTCTCACTGGGGCCCATGCTGGTACGGACTGAAGTCCACCTGTTGCTGTCGCAACCTTTCACAAGTTCAAGATCTCAAAACTTTGGACTTTGCACCCTGTCTTCCTCTCCATTCCCATCCTGTCCTTTTAGATCTTTTAGATAGCTTTCTCTGCACATGCAACCGAGCCTGCGGAATTTGCGTATAGTAAACGTTCGGAAAGGGTGCTGATTGTGGCACGCTCACTATGCGGACTGCCTGCTGTATCCTCGGAGATGGAAATGAAGGCAAGGTTCTGGGGGAAGCAACCGGGACACCAACATTTAGGTGGATAGAACCACTGTAGGGAGGAGTCTGGAGACCGGTCTGGATACTTCTCTGCAGTTGGATACTTGGTGCAGGGACTTGCTGAGTCCATGTAGTCTTCAGCAGTTCTTCTGTCGGCTGAGAGTGAATCTTGCCATCCACGGCCACGGGTGCCACGGGTGGATCTTGGACTTCGCTTGTTGGAGATGCAAGTTCCACCTGACAGGCCCCACAAGCTCCGCTGTCAAACTTCGGAGCTGAAGCAAGTTCCTCTTTGGGATCTGGCTCCTGTTCTGCTCTATCGTCTCTATCAAGCGCAGCTTGCAAGGTATCGAATCGTTTCCAGCACTCCTCAAGCTGTTGCTGCGCATCTTCCCAACGCTGCCGCCACAGATCCCCAGAATGCTCCAAGTCTTGCTTCTGATGAAGCAGCTGCCGATTCTGCTTTTCAGCCTCCTGGAGTCGCTTCTTCAAATCTCTGTTCTCGGCCTCCAATTCCTGAATTCGCTCGCGACCTCGCTCGCTTTCCAGCTTGGCCATGATGAAATCATCACGGAGAGTACCCAGCTCCTTCAATACTCCACCAAGAGACTCTGCATGATTGGATGTTAAACCATGTGCTTCAAAGGTTGGTGACATTGGACTGCTAGCAATGTCCCGGGTCTCAGGAGCCCGTCGGGGGCTCCCGCGTCTGTCTTCTTGAGGGTTCCTTTGGGGAGTTTTGCGGGCACCTTTGGGCTGCTGAGTTTTTTCTGTAGATCGGGGCCGTGGTCTTTGCGAAGTTCCTTGTCGACTCTGCAGTTGACTGGTTGGGAGTGCAGGTGGTGCCTGACCCGCACTTGGTTTGCTGGACGACCGAGCTGCAACTGTGCCAGCTTTCCCATCATTCTGCACAAACTCGGTTGGCTTCGGCAATCGGTTTGCAGGCTCCTTCATGTCCTGTAAACCTTCTTGCCATTTCTCATCATTGTTTGCATCATCTCCGTTCACTTCTGTATTCTCTGCACTCTGCGACTCTCCGACTCCCTCTTTTGGGACGGAATCTCCAAGAGGCTCCTGTGCATCTGGAGCTTGAAATGAACCTTCCTGCGGATCACACCACGATGGCAGCTGTGGCAACTGTGGCATTGGGATGCTTTCCGTGCCAGGCACCGGAAGCACTGGAGCTGGAGATGGTCGTGGCCCCCTTTTCTGCTCCAGGACTGGAACGATGCCTCGATGACGGCGTAGTTGAGTGCGATCCACCGCATAGGGTGAGCTTGCCATCAGCTACAAGTCTCTGAACTAGAGTGAATATATACTTATGAGCTACCGGGTTCCGGTATGTAACATGTTCCATCAGTATCTCCCTGTCAATTCTTGTCTCTTGCTCTGCTGAAGATAGAAGATCTGCATTTATATTAGAACATACAGTGGATACTCTTACGAGTGTGAAAAGAACTGACCCTAATACATTCGCCTGGGCTCCAATCTAGGAAAGGCAACCAGCATGCCATACGTGCCAATCTACACATTTTTTCTCAGTGATACAAAACCAAACTAAAGAATAAATTGAAACATGTTGCTGCTAATGCAACGTTGTCTGGAATCTCTTGGATTCAACAATTGCATTCAACAATTGCATTCCAGAGAAGGAGGCACTCGCTTTGCTCGTGCATCCCAGTTCCCTGGCATGCGCAAGCCTTCCAAACCTCAGGGCTGCAAAGTCACAAAAGAAGCGGGAAGTCAGTCTCTAAACGAGAGGCTTCACAGTATGGGAGAGTTGCAGAGGTAAAGTCCTGCGAAAAGCCTCAAACAGCCGTTTATAGAATATGCCTGAGATTAACTTCTAAACGACAAGTGTTAGTGTTAGACTCCTTTTGTTTTCTTAGTAGCTCGCGCCCAAGACTTTCAGCGTGAGCTTCTAGGCGGGTGCGCAGTGCCTCCATCAACTCAATGTTTCTTGATGAGTCAAATACTTTCAATCACAATGGAGGCCATTGCTTCCAGGTTGGAGGCTATCGCTGCTAGGTTCCTTGTGCTACTAGGTTGGACACAATTGTCATCTTCACAGTCCGTCCTCCGGGCCACTCACAGCAGGTTTCTCCGGTGCTGCCTTGCGCAAAACACGCCTAGACTCGCAAAAGGATTTCTGGTTAAACCAAGTCCACCCCTACGGCCTCAATCTTCTTGTCCAAAAACAGCAACAGGCTTCGACAGGTCTGCAGGGTAGAGGGAGCCTATCGCAGGACAGAATGCTATGACAACTCCTGAAAAGTAAAGACTTAGCCTTGTCAAGAAGCTCTTTGACGAAGCCTGCTGTGCATTCTCAAAAGCTCTCTTGTCAAGAAGCGAAGCTTCAGGCAACCAAAACAAATCAAGTGGAAACTTCAAGCAGATCCATACTGGCCTCGTTTAAGACCAATGTTCGGTTTCTTAGCAGGTTGCTCTGCTATCTGCTTCTCCTTCTGGTAGTATTCCTGCTCTGCAAAGCGTTTGCACACTTTCTCCTGTATCATGTCCATTTGTCCTGAATGCTGCATTTGTCTAACCCCAGCGCGCGCGTGCGCGTGCGCGTGCGCTCTGTTTTTACGTAAGTTTAGTAACAAAGACGCCCTCAACTAAGCTGAAAAGCAGTCAAGCTCAGCGTGACTGTCTCCAAAGATCGGAATCAAAGTTGCATCAAAAATGCTGGAGCTGCCATTGCATTTTCGAGACTCCGTCGTTCGGCAATATGGTCCAAAATCCACTCACAAGTGGGCGTGCGCGCGCTCTCTCCCTCTCTCTCCCTCTCTCTCTCTCTCTCTCTCGCTTTCTCTCTCTCTCTCGCTCTCGCTCTCGCTCTCGCTCTCGCTCTCGCTCTCGCTCTCGCTCTCGCTCTCGCTCTCGCT